TGTGTGTAGGTACGTACGTACGTGCGTGCGCATGTAAGTGCGTATGTATGTATGTGTATGTGTATGTGTATGTGCATGTGCATGTGCATGTGCATGTGCATGTGCATGTGCATGTGCATGTGCATGTGCATGTCCGTGTGTATGTGTATGCGTATGTACGTATGTCTGTCTGCCTGTTTGTCTGTATGTATGTATGTCTGTATGTATATGTATATGTATACGCATATGCATATGTATACGAGTCTTAGCTATGTTGTAGTTGTTTATGTGTTTATTCATTTCGTTTACTACCTAAATCTTTTATTCCTTTGCCTACCGACATACTTGTTTATATGTACATAGATACATATGCACACACTTCACAGTGTTTGTGTGTGTACGTATCTATATAGAGATATACATATATATATATATATAAATGGAGATAGATTTTGTACACAGGTGCACCCACAAACACGACAAAAACAATTAGATAAACTTGTATTGGTGTATATTATATATGTGTCTATACATATGTTCATACATACCTCATACTGATACTTGTCGCACCTTGGCATGTACATAGCCACAGACAGAAAGCTACAACCATGTTGCGCTGCGTGGCTCTGCGTGTCGGTTTAGGTGGCCGTGGCCGAAGTGTTGATTGATCCTGCTTTGGACTGCCGGCAGTCAGCGGCCTCTTCGCTAGTTCCAGCAAGAGAAGGGGAAGCCGCGGAAGCATTGCTAGAAGTGTTGCCAAGGCCAGGGCTCACTGCAGCTGCTTTCGATGCCGCCACACCAACACACCTAGGAAAATGAAGAAGGTTAACTCATCTCACAGTCAAATAGTGCTGCGTCTTATACTCTTACGAGGCAATGAGAGCACCAGCAACAAGACAAAATGAAGCACACAGCAACAACAACCACAACCACCAACAACCCAGAACCACCGCCACGATACCACACCACGACCACGACCACGACCAGCACCAGCACCACAGGCACCACCACAAAAACGTTAACATTGGCAAACACATCGGAATGTAGATGAAGAAGCTGGCAAGAAACGGAGTTGGCAAGAGTAAACTATTCGTGTAGCAATGAACCCCGACAGCAACAAGAGCTCCTATATCAGAGAAGCAGAAGAAGAACAATAACAATAAGAGCAATGGTAATAGCAAAACAAAAACACCAACATGACCAACACTATAGCTTGGTTCTTTATTCTTTATCATGGCCAAGAGTGGCAAGCAGGAGGGCGCGAAAACAGCAGTGCGGGTAGCAAGTTTGGACAAGCGAAAACTCATCAGCGACCTGAAGATGCGGGACCCGGGCATTGTATGTGCCCTCTACGCTGATGAGCACCTCCCATTCCTCATGTGACCCATTCCTGCGGCGTATGCATCAACTCTGGTCTTTCGAATCAGGTCACAACACTCCCGTCATGCAGGATGCACAAGATGCACGCGAAAAATCTCAGGACTGGGCGCAGAAAGGGCGGACCCCGATCGGAAGTCGATGCCTGCCTTTCGCAATGGAGGCCCGGCATGTGAAAACAGAAGAGGAAGGAGCAACCAAAGTGCTTCCTAACAGCAGCAGAAAGGGAAGGCCTGGAGCCTTCGCCTCAAAATGTGGTCATGCTGCATTCGACGTTGCAACGCCGCTGAAGCATGCTGAGCTTCAGGCGTCGAAGGAGTTGTCGTGGTGGGCTGTACACAGGTTCAGGTCATGTCATGTCTCTTGCAACACACACGGAACAGCCAATCGATATGTTTTCCCAAATCGGGTGCGAACAGACAAGGCTCCGAGCAAGCATTCACAAGTTGTTCACCTTACCTTCCACAGTATGCTAGCTAGCTTCCTAGCTTCCAGTCTTGCTTTCCAGCTACTTACTGGCCCCTTCGGCCTATCCTGAACATGCCTTCAACCTGGCTGGGGACTTGGCCATGCTCACCACCATACACCCCACGTTCTGCGGAATGATGCGAATCCTGCAGAAGGGACCATGGGTCTCTGAGCATTGGTGCCCGGTGCAGCGACCTGCCTGTCTTCGGTGGCCTGGCATATCTGGCATACAATCAGACTGCGAAAAGCACGGCTTCACTCCACTTACAAGAAGCGCACGTGCCCCAAACTGCAAGCAAGTTGCTAGGCCAATGCCGTTGACGGTGACTGTCCCAGGAACTCCAGGATTGACGACGAACCTCACAGTTTTTCGGTAAATTCAGCCAGACCAGCTGGGCCTCGCGATTTTAGCATGGGGAACGGCTGAAGCGCATGGGCGTGCGAAGCCACGAGTAACGAGACTCTTTCCGTTTTGCCATGGACAGGCGCCATACATTCAAGGTTTTTCTGGCCAGAAATTCAAAAGCCCTCAAGAGGCGCAGGCTCTCACGATATAGACACACCCAGAGTCGTACATGCACACACGAAGCCACCCTGATGCAGCAAAGGGCCTCATGTTGCCAGCATTTTGAGGTCCGCTAACTTGCAAGGTGCCGATGCTGATCCAGCCCACACAGGTGCTTGCCTCGGCAGGGCTCGCTCTGGACTAGAGTCTCTGCTGGTTGCTATCGTTCTGTATGCCTTCTCATTCTTGGCAGACTCTCGATGTCTAAGTTCAGAGCATAGTGCCGGTCGCAGTAGCACACGGTGAACCTGTCTGCCTGGTGGGGGTTGCGACATCCCAAGAAGCCTTTCGTTTTTCCAAGCTTTGCGAGGCTCCTGCGAGAGAGACGTGTTACTTTTAGCCGACCGAATTGCCACTCAGAGTCTCGACGGCATGCGTGATTTTGAAGCCCCAGCGAAGGCAATGACGGACCTTCCTTTTCCTTCCAAACCTAAGCTTCGGGCTCGGGTCACGGCGACGCCTGCAGAAGCTCGGGCTGACGCATAGCATTTACGGGTAAGCTCTCTCCGTCGGTGTAAGACAGTCAGCTTGGCTTGGGTCAGACAGCTCTGACACGACAGTACGGCCATGAGCCTGCCTGTCCAGATCAGCTCTCGTCCAGAACCCCAAGAGCCAGAGGACAAGGTCGAAATCGGCGCTGGCTCACACATGCCAACCTCGACCGGCCACTTGCCTCCGCCCACGAAGGGTGTCTTGGAAGTGCCGAGAGCCCTGCACCGCTCTCTAGACAGGTGATGCCCATGACCTGAGCTGGGCGCAACATGGCGCTACAGGGAGCCGTGCAGCCTCCAAAATGCAAACACAACCGCAGTGCTGTTTGTAGATCTTTGTAGCATGCAGAGCAGCTGCAAAGGTATTGAACTGACATCCGGGTTGCCGTCACTAGTTGCCGAGAAGACTGCAGAGGTATTGCATGCATCATGGTAGATTCACACGCCGGGCCCGACACAGAGCGATGGAGCTGTGTCGAGTCACACGCACCTGCAACTTGTTAAGCTGCGCCGCGTAGAATGATTTCTCCTCCTTGCTGTCACGCGGCTCTCGTGCGTGATGATCTTCATGCGCGGCCAGGGATCACCTTAGGCTACGTTACATATCGGAGCCAGGGTACGGACGTCGAGAAATGCTCAGATGCAGGGGCCGGGGCCGATATCGAAGTCGCTTGCGAGTGGCACTCTCAATGCAAACGGTGTGGACACAGTGGCAGCCCAGGTCTCAGTAGCAGAACCATCAAGCATTCCATGACTCTTGGAATCGCTGTAGCACACCATGCGTTGAGGTCGCGTCCGTCGAGTAAGAAACAAGGCCGCCAGTAATGGGAACTGCCAGGCCGACGTTATCTGCGGGCATGACCTCTTCCGCAATGCTGATCCAGGATATGAGGGGAAACGGCCACGGGCCCTCAGGACTCGACGCAACGATCATTCGAGCACAAATCTCGCCCGTAGCACCACACCTCAAGCTGAAGGCTATCTGCTCAACTGCAGCAGTCAGCCCAAGTCATATATGATTACGGAGCAGCTATCGAGAACAGCTCACTTCTCAGCTTGGCACGTGCATTTCCGTTGAAGACTCCAGGGTGATGTCGGGGATGTGGGTTGGAACATGCCTGAGACTAAGACGGAACGCCCGGCGCTTTGAAACTAACCTTGCCACAGTCTGAGCTGGGCTGCACCAAGTTCGGCCCCATATCGATCACCTCCAGCCAGATCGAAGGCTTGATGAACTAGGCAGAGGCTAATAAGCGTCACAGCTCGCAGCTGTCGATCTTGCAGGCTGGCGGCTGTTTCCACCGTGGTCCCGATGCCCCAACATCGCGGAAAGAACCTTTGCCGATCATTCAACTCCTCGACATCCTGGCCGAGCGAATTGAGACCGCGTGGCAACTCAAAAGGCTCCGTGGCAATTCACAGGTCCTTGGTGCAGTTTTCCAAGTCAGACCTGGCTGGAGAGGATCTTGAGAGGCCAGACAGTCCGCAGCAGGCTTGAAGAAGCGCACGGAAAAAAACCACAAACTGAGCCCATTGCTTTCTCGGGATGAAGTTGTCCGGTGCAGGCCGGGTGGTGGCGACGCATGTGTACTTCCTTCGAAAGGTGACAAGGAACTGGAAACAAAGCAGCGTTGCTGGCCACGCCGTGTAAACTCTCAACGAAATAACAATGAAACCCACGAAACCCAACACAGAAGCGGCTTGTGCCGACGGGATTCATGAAGGTGTTGAGCACGTCCACTTCAACACTGACCTTAAGCTGCACTGCAATCACAAGACGAATGATAGGTAAAAGCCCCAGCGCGCCAGGAGACTCGACCGCAAGTCAAAACCGAAGGCCGCACCGCGTACTTCGCTGCTGGAAGCTTCGGCTGCCAATATCCCGGGGTGACCCCGACCTCCAAGCTCTTGCACTGCCGGGATTCCCTGCTCTGTGCTTGGAATGTCACGTCTCCGCCTGTCGCACTGCCAAAATCGACCCAGTGACCTCGGCACCGACATGGGGCTTGCTGAGATGGGAGATGAGTCCACCAAGCAGACCAAGCACGTGGCCCGAACGGTGCCTAGCTCATGCCTGTAGCGCTCGTACGGGGTTGACTGGCCTGGTTCGACACAAAGCGTGCCACCTGCCGGCCGGAAGGAGCCACATGCTTGCAAAGGGGAATCGAGAAATTGCGCTGTCCCGTCCAGAACTCCATGCAGCTTTTCCGTCACAAACGGCATGTTGTCCAAAGTAGACTTCGTGAAGGGGTGAAACGAGCAGAAGACTTAAATGGGAGGGCAGATGCTGACGCTGGCCTATACAGATCTCTCGCTCTCGTGCTGTTGACGGGAGTCACTCTACATACTGCCAGACATTCTCATCTTCTGGAGCCGGGTGACAACTGCTGCAAAGCAAGGAGCGATCGGAAGAGAGCAGCAGCCTCCCGGAGGCGCCACAAAGGGAACAACGAGCAGGGCAAACCTCGCGCCGTGCTCGCGCCGCGAGTGCCAGAGGAATGCTGGAGGGCCGGATGCCCCACTGCACGCGGGCAGTCCCGCCCAGAATACAGCCTGCCAAGAGTCCCGCAGGGCCAGCGAGGGCCATGCCAGTGAAGGCGCAAACTGCTGGAGTCGAGTCCATGAGCTGCATAGCAGCATCCAGCACTTGTGACGAGAGCGCTGTCGGCTCAGTTTCGAGATCGACATAGGCCAGCAGCTGTGTGATGTAAAGCTGACAGTCGTCGTTCGACGACCACCCAATGCCACAAACATTGAAGGGTCCTAAAAGGTTTTTCCGGTGTCCAGGCGAGGCGATCCATCCATCTACGGTTGCCTTTGCCATCACTTCCCGGGCGTAGCCCTTAGAAACTGCCAGGTTCTCTGCGAAGTTGTGGCAGACGAGGCCAGAGTCCTGGAAGCGCTCCGTGGCTCCCTCATGGCTGAAGGGTTGGCAGTGATCGGCCATGGCCAGCGCATGCTTCCGAGCCACTGCGCTTAAGGCCTCGTGCAACTCCAGGCGTGGGAGGCCCTCCTGTTCTCGAAACTCATTGCTCAAGGCTAGCACCTCCTCCTGCAGTGGGCAGCACATCCTCGGCTGTGCGTTGAAGAAGCCGCCACCTACTGCATCCTGTCTCCATCCGGGAGCAGCATCCGCATCTTGAGCCTTCAAAGGTGCCTCGGAGTTGGAGCAATTGCATGTCAAAGCTCGGCCCGAGACAGAGGAAAGCAACAGAGAGAGAGAGAGAGAGTGAAAGAGAGAAAGAAAGAGCGACAAAGCAAGCAAGCAAGCAAGCAAGCAAGCAAGCAAGCAAGCAAGCACGCAGGCAGGCAGGCAAGCAGGCAAGCAGGCAAGCAGGCAAGCAGGCAAGCAGGCAAGCAGGCAAGCAGGCAAGCAGGCAAGCAGGCAAGCAAGCAAGCAAGCAAGCAAGCAAGCAAAGCAAGC